AAGCAAACTCCAGAATCGTAATCAGCGACCACAAAAACCACAGAGTATCAAAATCCAACGAATACAATTATTTTTTAAAATTCATTTCCGCTATATTGGATCCTCTATTTTTTATTTTTGAAAACAAAATCCAGGATCGTAATCAGCGATCACAAAAACCCCTGAGTAACAAAATTCAAGTCCGCCATATTGGATCCGCCATTTTTGAAAACAAACTCCAGGATCGTATTCAGCGACCCCAGAAACCCTCGAGTAATAAATTTTAACTAAATACAATTATTTTTAAAAATTCATGTCAGTCATATTACATCCGCCATTTTAAATTTTGAACATATAGCGTTATATAGTAATGGGTCAGACCAGAAACCCTTGAAAGTTCATTCGCTATTGAAAATAATGCTGCACAGAAAACACATCGCAATTAGTTAATTTAAGTCACTTTTGAAGGACATATTATAACCTCAAATTTAATTTAGCCTCATAGGACAATGTAGACATGAAGAGGGGACTCTAAAGTGATCATACAAAATGAATATGGACAATTAAACAAACATTATATTTAGATTAAAAATATTTTCTTGACTTTTTTCCGTTTATTGACAGATTCAAAGTGAACCATTTAAAACGGTCAATTTTGCCACTCGCCATTCAAAAGTTGACATTTTTCTGCAAATTTTAAGTGGTATTTTAATGATTTTCGTTCAAACTGAAGATGGGCAGCGTGGTGGTAAAGTTGAGAAAGAATGCCCTATTTACATCTTAGTTATAGAATAGTATTTTTTGCAAAATTGAGACTGCGGATCTTAAAAGGACACTTTCAACATTGATTTTAAATAGTAAAAGTGCCCTTTTAAGATCCGGAGCCTCAATTATGCTAAAATGTGACTAAATTACATGAAATACTCAAGTATGGAAATACTTGGGTAGATTAAAAGACTTTTTGAGATTTGTCGACAATTTTGGTCATATTGCAATAGAGACTATTTGTACCTTAGTAAAAAATTCGTTGAGTCCCTCTCAAGTGATTCCAGCCATAAGGTCAGCCAAGCGTCCGATGCATCAAATTTTTCAAAAAATGTTTTAACTTGTAGATACCAATTGTATTTTGTATTATTTGGTTTCAAAGTAGCTAATTTTTTTAATCTTTCCAAACATAATTTAGGATATCGGCAATCATCCATTCTCAAAATTTTCTCCAACCATGACAACACCATTCGGAAGACATGATAGGCAAGTGGTAGACTACCAGTCTCCAGTCTAACTGCGTAGTTAGGGGTATTGGTCGGAAGCAACAATAATTTTTTATAAAAACTTAGCTGAACCCTCTCGATCGAATCTAGATGAGATAGACCCCCAATTTTGCACTTGATAAAAAAGAACACTGAAACATAAACTCTTAAAAAGATTTTCATAAGTGCGCCAAGAGTCTGCTTTTGTTAAATAAATTAATTTCATAACTGTTCCTACTGCCGTATTTGCCGAGCTTAAAAAATAGTTTACAGCTTCCTTGAAAGAAAAAGTGCTAGTCAGAGGCAGCCCAAGATAAGTGAATTCATCCACGACATCTATTTTTTGTTTACCAAATTGAAACGATTTGAAACTAGGTTTCGTCGATTTATTCTTTTTGAAAATAACAACTCTGGTTTTTTTGACATTTACAATTAATTTCTTCTGGTTACAATAAAGTTCCAAACCATCAAGCAATTTTCTAAACTCTGTTGGCGTATCAGCAAGGAGCACTATATCATCCGCGTAATCAAGTGAAAGCACCTCCGTTCTATTACCAATGGAAAGACCTCTACAGCCCCTTTCACGAAGAAAGTCCCCAAGATCCCCAATAAACAGTATAAATAACAAGCCACTTAATACCTCACCCTGTAATACACCGCGAGTAACCTTGACCTCTGGGATTGCATTTGTTCCAGTTTCAATTGATGCTCGTGCTGTTTCATAAAACAGCAAAGAATTTTTTTTAAATTTTTTTTTCGCAAAATATTTATAATTTTAGAGCTTATCCCCAATTGAGACAATTTTTGCCATAGCAAACTGTGGTGAACAGTATTAAAAGCACCCTTAAGATCAATGAATGCTGCATACACTACACTATTAGAGTGACCAAGATGAATTTGTAATAAAGAAATCAGCGTGAAAAGATTATCAGAACAACCTCGTTTCGGTCTGAAACCAGACTGTGATTCGGGAAGTAAATTTTTGTCTTTAACCCATTTGGTCAGTCTATTGTAAATTACTTGTGTAAATATTTTTGCAATGCAGTTCACAAATGTTATGGGTCTATAGTTAGATGGGTCACCATTGTCGCCTTTTTTAAATATCATACTCATGGAAAGCGAACCCCAGGAGTCTGGCACCCTTTCAGATGTCATTACTTGATTAAAAAGAATCTGCAAATAATTAATCCAATTCTCTGGCAATCTTTTATAAAAACTATAATTTATTTTATCTGTACCAGAGGCCTTTCCATCTTTACATTTATTTATGCTTTTAGCAATCTCATCAATACTTATCGGACAGTCGAGCATAGGCTCGTGTATATTTTCAAAGGTAAAAAAATTATCGCTTACAGGAGAGTACATATCAACAAGATAACGATGCCATGAATCTATGTCAATAACGTCAAGATAGAAACCCTTAGATCGAAACCCGTTGATCGTGCTCCAAAACTCTGTCGAATTACGGGCATTTGCTAAAACTTGAATAGAGTTAGCCTGAAATGCTTTCTTTTTTAGTTTAATAATGTTTTTATAATTACTTTTCATTTCAAAATAAAAGAGACGTGTATAATCTGTATAGTTTGACTGTTTGTAAACTTTTAGAGCAGAATCAACAAGCCTCCTGGCCTTCACACACTCTCCATCAAACCAGATTTTGTTCCTTCTCTTTTTATTAACACCAATACTATATGCCTCATTCCCAGACCACTAGCCACCTTTGTTATTGTTGCCGTTATGTTTTCATTTAAAATATCAAGATCCTCACAGATTTCCTGTGATTCTACCATGTTGGACATGTTAGTATAAAAAAGGGAAGACTTGGACTTATTAAAGTTTAGTTTAAAATTTATATTTCTTGATTTTTTAGTGAGCATGTGTCGCTTTTGACTTGTAAAGTAAACTAGAACTGGGTAGTGGTCTGAGAAGGTAACAATAGGACACACTTTAAAATCTCTCAATACAGGGAGGCCATTGTAGGAGCACCAAACAAGATCTATAACACTTGAGCCCATAGGTTCTTCAAAAGTATAGGCCCCCGTATTATCACCAAGTGATCGACCGTTTAGTAATATCAGTTCATTCAATTCCATACATTCTGAGAGCAGTTTCCCCCGTCTGTCAACAATTTTGTCAGCTGAGTTACGTGAGGGAAAGAAGGTGGTTCCATTCATTAAGTTAGCATCTAATTGGTTTAAACCGTACATTCGACTATTAAAGTCACCGCCCACAATTATAGGTACATTTGGATATTCTAATAAGATTAGATTTAAAAAATTATTAAAATTTATTTTAAAAAAATAAATACACAATTATCATTTGAAAAAATAGTTTTAACATTATAATACTTATCGTTGTAGCAGATGAGGAGGCCACCGCTTGCTCTTCCGTGAGGATCTCTTCTTATTGCCGGGATATGTATATAGTTAAAGCACCGTAAAAAATTAGGTAGTATTATGGCGTCTGAGGTCAACCAAGTTTCACAAATGCACACAATATCCAACTCCTCCACCATTTGGTCCAAATCAGATAAGTTAGCGTATCCATGTGAGTTCCAAAAACAGATCCTTCTATTGAGATGTACCTCATGATTCATCCTTTCCTCAGAGTCTGACTGCTATTGATCCTCAGCAACATCCTTATAGGACTTCTTCGGTAGGTCCTTTTCTTCGGTATGATTGTTGTCATCGAGTTTTGAGTAGCGTAAAGATTTTCTAGCTGATTCATTATCCTTAGGGAAGTATGCTTCCAAACGTTTGACACTCTGGTTTTTTAATTTTATTTCTTTCCTAGGACGACCGCGTTTGTTTAATTGAGTAGTAGGCGTCTGGGTGTTAGTCGGGGTCTCAAGAGGGGACTGAGAGACATGAGATGGAGCTTGTCGCGTTTCATTCTCATGTGTCAAGAGGTTAATTTCCTCTTGATTTAAGATTTTATCGTTGACATAAACTTTATTTCTCTTAAGATAAGCCTTATATCCAAGAGTCTGGAGTTTTTTTACGCAGTTGAAAAGAATTCTACTTTCATCCCTCTCCTCCTTGGACTTGTCATTTGAGATATGTAGATCAAGTTTTCGAAACTCATCCATTTTCGAAAAAGCCCGCTTCACCAAACGTGTAGAGCAAAATTTTATTATAGTCGGTCGTTTTCCCTGTATTTTGCCAAGTCTGTACACGTCATCAATTGAATTTTCAGGAATAATCAAATTGATTTTCTTGAAAATATCTTCGACTGAGGTTTCAAGGTTTCTGTTATATTCATTAGTGTCTGGTAGATTGTAAACAATAAGATTCTTGCCTCTGTATTGATATTCTGTATTGATGTTCTTTTCACTTACACTTTGCATATCCTGTCTTAGAGACTCCTGCGAGTCTGTAAGGGCCTGAATACTTTTAATAAGTGTCTCAATTGATTTTTGAAGAGATAAAAAATCCTCGGGCATGGTTAATTCAGGACAAAACTTTTTTGATCAAATTGAATATCTCCCGTTCAAACTAATATTTTTTAAATTTGTAAATTTATAAACCTTTCTTGGGTCAGTATCTAACATCCTACCAAGTTAAACTAAAATCGATTCACGCGTTTTTGTGTGATTGGGGTACAAAGTTTTAGTGACAGACATACATACATATATACGTACATACGTATACATTAAATTTTTTAAGAATATTTTTGGAATCTGTGATGTCCATAATAACTAATCATGTTAACATTTTGAAGTTTTAAGCAATGTACAGACATACGTCTGATTTTATTAATAAGGATTTTTACCGTCGCTGAAGACATGTCATTGGAAGAAGGAACACCACCAGAAGACCCTTCTTCTTGCCATATTTCATCATTATCATCATCAACACCACTACTACTATCATTAACATCATTATCATCATCATTATCATCATCATCATCATCAGCACCACTATTATCATCATTTTCTAAACTTGAAAGCCAAAAGCTAGATGAATATTTAAAAAATGTATATACAATCTGCAAAATGAAATTTTATCATTCAATCAATTTTATTTTATGATTCAATCGTATAAAGAATCATTGATTTTTAGGGTTTCGTGGCCAAGGGCTGAGATCCTTATAGCGAGACTTCGGTGTTTGTCTTAAATTTAAGTCCTTAAGTCTTAAATTTAACGTATTTAGAAGGAGACTTAAGAAAGACTTACGTATTGAGTCTTCAATCTTAAGTATTAAGCTGTTGCCATGGCAACTGTTGCTAGGTTACCATAGTAACCATTACCATTACAACCGTTGCTATGGTAATGGTTACTATAGTAACCGTTCTTGGCGTTTAAAATTGGTTTTATTATTTTTTATTATTTTTATCCTTTTAAGCCACAAAACCCAAAGATGTAGGCGCATTGGGCCTGCTTTTCTCACTGATTTTTAATAATAAATGAAAATATTTACACTCAAATCTCGCTATAACGAGCGCTCTCTATAACGAGGACTCTGTCTCTCCGTATAGCGAGAATAATTTCCTTCCTATTACCCCCACTATTTATAAACAAATGCACATTCTGTTGATTTAAACTTGGTTAAAATCAATTTTATTTATATCATAATGAGCATAAAAAGTCACTTCTTTTTTTAAATTATATCAATGAGTCGAACATCTTCAAAATTTTAGCTTATATAAATTTTCTGTATGTTGAAATTCAAATTAAACTAGGTTACGTTTGTAATTTTGACATTACGTAGTAAATTGTAAACAGAAAAAAATGAATGAAGAATCTTAAAATTGGGGATTTTTCATTTCTCCTCTTGCGCTCGTAATAGAGAGAGACTTGACTCCAGAACTTCTCGTTACAGCGAGATTCGAGTGTATTTACATGTGTTATTTCCAATTTTATAAATTTTGACACCTCTCTAGATGTGTGATATTTATTAATTAAAATATTTGAAAAAACTGAAGCAATTTTCATATGAGACATTCCGCTTTTTCTTTCTTTTATTACTTTTTGTAAATGTATAATTAAATATGCAAGAGTTTCTCGATTTGGTTTCGGAAGTTGGAAAATTATTTTTTTTATTTCTTCATCATTTTTCATTCGTAGAGCATATATTATTTGATTTCTTGTTTCTTCATTAATAGTTTTATCAGTCAGTTGATCTCTAAATTTGCAGAAATTTAATGTTTTTATATTAAGATAATACTCAAATTTTATGTGTTCATGTCCTGAACACTTTGCTTTCTCATGACAATTTTTATATTTTATACTATATAAATAGCATTATTGACATATATTATTCTCATTCATAATAGCACAAACAACAAAAAGTATCTTTTTTCAAAGTTTATGTTTTTCAAACTTCAATAACTTCCTTATTCTAGACCGTATAATGTTAAAAAAAATAGGACATTCGATGCGTTTTTAAAGCGTCTAATAATAATTAAAAAATATTTAAACTTAAATTATGGAACTCGAGATCTTTATTAAAATGTAACCCTGTGGATTGTAAATATGTCCAAATAACTGCAGGGAACGTTCTTACAGTCAAAAAAACGTAAAGTAGAGGAGAACGGGACGAGGCAGCCAATTGCTTCTTATTTCTGTACAATTTTTTTAAATCGTGCGCTATTGATAATTTATAGACTTCTTATGGTAGTTTACTTTAGTTGCTAATAGATGGACATTATTGCTGCAGCAGTTTAGCAATGACAGTATCATTTATGAAAACAGACTTTTTGGATGTAACTTTTCTATGAGTTATTTTGGTGATTTTACTTAATAGAGTTACACGAATAAAATTCTAGTAAAGTGAGTTTCAATGCAGAATTTAGTGATGAAGACGATGGTGTTAATGAAATTGCGATATTTTTAATATTACGGGTTTTGTGAATGTTTTCTTAAAAAAGTACTCGTGGGCAGCCAACGCTAAATTTTTCGTCTTTTTGTGTTGATTTTATTGGTTCTTCTAAAGGTTTTATCTTTTTTTCCTACTCCAATAAATTTTAAACTTAACATATAATTTTATAAATCATTTTTTAAGAATAACAAATTTATATTTTCTTAAAATGTTAAATTGAATTTAATTAATGTTATTATTATAATATTATTCAAATGTAAATTTTTGAAGTTTACTAACAAAATAAAAGTAAGTTAAGGACAACTACCTTGTTATGTTTCACTAATTTTAACTTTAAGTTATGTTTTTGTAACTATTAAAATAGTTGGCCGCCTCACCCTAAGTTTTTGCAAATATGCCAAAATGTGGTCCTTTGGGAAAAGGGTTGTAGAAATTTTTAAGTGCAACCTACGTCAAAATGTTCTTTGGCGATTTTTTATCTAAAAAGACAAGCTTTCTAACGCGATATTAAAATTGAAAAAACCTATTTAAATAACTGCCTCGTAAACCAAAATATGCCGTTTTGGCTGCCTCGCCCGTTCTCCTCTAGTATATGAAAAACCGAGTTTAAAATTTTTCAGTATACAATACTTCTACGAGAAAGCAACAAATATGTGTATATTGTTAAGTTCCATTGAAATAAAATTAATAAACAATAATATATTAATTAAGTTGATGTTCTATAGTCAACTATTTAATTTTTACCCCAGAAATGATTTGAGTGCAGAGGCAATTGTCAAAATTGAATATTTCGATATATCTGCATGTAGGTCTTTACATCTATTTTGCAATTTTTTTATTTCCATATCTTCGGCATCAAATAAGTACAATCCAACACTTCTCATTCCACGATTTTCTATTTCTTTTATGTATTTCACCAAAATCGGAGGTACCATTGGTGAATAATGTTTTGCGTAATCAGCAATGGAGCCCTGAATGAAATGAGTTTTCTAAATATTGTCTCAACTCACATTAACCTTCGCGCTGCCAACGATTTTTTATAACGCGGGCTCCGATGCGGTCACCAGGAAAGACCAAACGCTTATTTATTTTCATTTTCCAAAAACGATTTAAATTCATCAAAGTTTTTCCATATAATTACGTGTTAATACAAATACTGTATTTCTATAATGTTTTTATGCATATTGCAGATAAAAATTGAATTATTATTTAAACAATTTTTAAACAAATTTTTATTGTTATTTACCAACTTTTTACTGAATGCACCTTGAATGTTGCAGTTTTCTTTATAGTTTTGCAATTTAATAAACTCTATATGATTACAGATAAATGATAAGAATTGAATTATTATGTAAACAATTTTTAAACAAATTAATAATTTGTTTATAAATTATAATCTGTAATCATATAAGGTTGCAACTTTCTAGGTTGTAAAAAAGGTATAAATAAGACTCGTAAATTGTGGGAAAATTGTGACTCGGAAGGAAAGTTCGATTAAAAATATATCACCAAGTTTTCTTTAATACGAAAGAACAAAGTCAATTTATTATATCGAAATTCATTTACATATACTGAGTTCTTAAACCCGACTAACTTTCAATTTGATTCTACCCTCCGCATTTCTGTTGCTTACTTTCGGCTATCTTCGTAAACCTTATCGACTACATCCGATTGTAAACATCCACACAAAACAAACACATTCAGATTTTACAAGGTGCATTCCGTAACAAGTTGGTAAATAACAACAGTAATTTGTTTAAAATTTGTTTAAATGGAATTCTTTTTTTTATTCTTTATCTGTAATCATATATAGAGTTTAGTAAATTGCAAAATTAGGAAAAAAAACTGCAACTTTCTAGGTGCATTCTATAAAAAGTTGGTAAATAACAACAATAATTTGTTTAAACAAATAAAAAATTTATTGGAACATTAAAACATATCTATTGTATTTATTGACATAAAACAATTTTACTGTAAAATATTGATTTTATTTTTTTGCAATATACAAATTAAACACCCGGTCAATTTTCAGTAGTCTTATACATACTTTTTTAATTGTTATAAATAAACAAGAAGAAATGAAAAAAAAATTAATTTTTTAGGGTTCCGTACACCTACGGTGTATCGGCGGAACCCTATTGGTGTCCGTAGCCAAATCGTGTCCCCCCCCCCTAGCGGCTAAACTATTTGACCTAAAGAGCTCAAATTTGGTACAGATATGTATTTTCACACGTAGATTACAGGAAAAATATAGCGAATGTGATTGGACGTAATGGGCATAGCGCTGTCAAGGAAATAACAAGATTTTTGGCCAAAAATGCATAAAAAGTGACCATTCCCCCCCCCTTAACTTCTAAACTATTCGACATGGAGAGCTGAAATTTTGCATGCTGGTGTATTTTTACTCGAATATTACAGGAAAAATATAGAGAACTTGATATGTAATGATGGCCATAGCGTTGTCAAGGAAAAACTAAAAAATTAAAAAAAAAAAATTTTTCCCTAACTTTTACATTATTTGACCTAATGAGCTGAAAATTGGTATCCTAATGTATTATTACAGTCTGACGACAAAAAATTTATTTAAGAAACTTTTGAAAAAAAAATTTTTTTTAAATTTTTTTTTAGTTTAAACACGTGGCATTAAATATTTTAAGAAAGAGTAAAATTTTAAGAGAATAAATGAGAGATTGTTTTCTGGCTTTAATTTCTTAACTAAAAATAAAAAAAAATTGGACAAGTGCGAGTTGTACTCGCACTGCAATGGCAGGTTCCGTACACAAATATTAAAATAATACTTGCAACATTTATCGGTAATTGGTAGAATTAAAATAAACAATTAAAAAAATATATTAAAATCATTTGATAAAAAAAACAACTAAAAGAAATTGAAGTATTGTATAACTAATATTGTAAACTATAATAAGCAGAGGAACTATAATTTTGAAAATTTTGTTCCTCTGCTTATTATTGTTTACAATATTAGATATATAGGTACAATACTTTAATTGTTTTAGTTATTTTTTTTTATCAAATGGTTTTAATATATTTTTTTAATTGTTTATTTTAATTCTACCAATTACCGATAAATGTTGCAAGTATTGTTTTAATATTTGTGTACGGAACCCGCCATTGCAGTGCGAGTACAACTCGCACTTGTCCAATTTTTTTTTATTTTTCGAAAGTAGATAAAATTTTGTTTAGTGATTTAAAATCACGATTAGATTGATGCAAAAGTCGAGCAGATTTTCAACTTTTTTAATTGATTGGTCACCCCGGGTGACCGTTTCGGAGCGCAAAGGTTAAAAAAAATTAAAAATATAATATTTTTTTTTAAAACTTACAGTTGCAATATTATATAACAGATTGTTCCAAAATATTGTCGGAATATTTAAAAGTCCCTCAATGATCTATAAGAAAAGGAATTATAAGTAAAAATGTTCTAATATTCTCGAAATTTGAAAGATTGCGAAATCATTTACTATTATTTCAAATTATTAAGAATTTCTACTAATTTGAAAGAGTAAAAGATTTTGTAGTCTTTCATATTTATAGAATACAATTTTGAATACAATAAATTAGTATATTTCGTAACGAGTGCGAGCAGTTTGTTTTACAGTTTGTTCCAAAAAATGTGCTCATTCAGAAATTGGCAACTTCTCGCACTAGTTACGAACGATATTTTTCATAACAAGGTGGAAAAAAGTGCCTTTTTTTGCACCGCGTTATGAAAAGAATATTTACTAACTGTTATTTGTGCAGCATTCTGTTGTTTCCAATTTGGTAGAGTATCAATACCCTCTTTATGTATGATAGATGGTCTAAATATTACAGCAAGATTGTGATAAGTCATTCTTTTGTTTTCGTTTACCATTTGTTTCACTTCAACTTTTTGTAAATGTATAATCAGGTAAGCGAGTGTGTCTTGTTTTGGCTGGGGAAGATTGTAAATGATAGTTTTTAGTTCTTCCTTATTTTCAAAATTATTTAAAAGCTGGTCCATTGTTTCCTTATTGATAACTGACTCTAGCAAATTGTTTCTAAATTTTGAAGAATATTCATAAAAAATGTTATTTATTTTATAACCTGTGTAGAAATTAAATCAACGTAAAGTTGTAATACGATACGTCATATTAATTAATTTATTTTTTTGTTTTATTTTGACATTTATAAAGAGCTAATTATAATTATTTCTAGCCCCCCGAGCAAAAATAGGATTTTGTGGCCATTTCACATGCGGAAAGAAAAAATAAATTAGCATATTAAGAAAAGAAAAAAATACCGTAGAAAGTTTTTGAGTGCTGAGGTGATTGCTGGAGTGCTAAATGTGGATATATCTGCATTTATGTCACTATCAATTACATTTTCTAAATTTTCAATTTCCGTTATAGTGGCACTTTTTCTGTACAATCCTTCATATTCCATTCCACGATTTTCCACTTCTTCGATGTATTTTGTCACAATTGGAGGTACCATTGGTGTGCAATCTTTCGTGTAATCAGCAATTGAACCCCACAAATAAAAAACCATTTTTGATAAGTTAGTTGCACAAATAGTATATTAAGCAACAAGGGGACAAAGACAGCCATTTATATGCGGTGATTTTTGTGATACGAGTGAAGGTCGAGACCAAAACAAGTTTCACAAAGACCATCGTAAGTAAATTGGGCTGCCTTTGTTCCCGTGTTACTTAGGATATTTTAAATTCAAAAAGCACAAAACTGGCTATTTCAGATTGCAGAAGATAGAGAGTTAAAGGTATTCAGTTGTTCGACTTGTACAAAGATGGCATTAGTTTTATTCCACGGGTAAAATGGCCACAATTTTTATACGGTCGAACAAATAGATGATTTTACTCTTTGTCATCTGCTATCTTAAAGTGCCATTTTTGTGCCTGTGAGTTGAAAATATTTATAGTTTATAATTATGTTAATTATTTAAAAAAAAATCTTTTTACAACTTACTGTAGATTCTTCAATAGATACTGATTCTTTCCTTTTTCCATTGTTTTTCTAAACAAAAATAAAATATTATATTGTACAACTAGTAGAGTTGAGAAGAGTATCTATAAATGTAATTCATGACTTGATACTCAATAAATTGTACTCAGGAGAAGGTTTTCTGCAGTTTTCCTTTACACTGTCCGAATACTCACACGAAAAAAAGTACGTGAAATTTTCCTTTAAAGTGCTTGACTTTTGGATAGGACAAAATTTCTAGACTATATCATATACTTTTTATTAGAATAACAAAGTCAAGAAAATAATGGAAATAGTCCTAGAATTATTCTAGTACTAGTAGGGGAGAGTGGGGCAAACCGGACCCCCTAACGGTTTTTTGACTCTTGTGACTAAACGAATCAACCGATTTCATTTTTCGATGGCTTGTTTGAAAGATCATTAAATTGCGCAACTTTTTCCCAGAGGCACCTATTCTTTATCTTTTATTGTTTAGTTGCTGTGTTAATTTTAAAAAAATTTGCAAACGTTCCGGTTTGCCCCACCCCATGGGGTAAACCGGACCCCCCATGGGCAAACCGGACCGTTTGGTTTTTTATTTATAATATTGCATTTACATAATCTACAATAATAAAAAACATAAAGAATCATGTAAACAATGGTTGTAGTAATGAAAATAATAATACGGGATTGAATTTTAATTAAATAAATATTTTTTTAATAAAAAAATAAAAATGTTTGTCATTATCAGAGAAACAATATTAAAGGGTCCAATTCTCATTGGAAGACAATTATTTTTCATTGTAAGTAAATATTTTAATGAAAGAAACATTTTATTTAAAAATAATTTTTATGAAACTTTAATTCAATGGAAATATCCTATGGCCGGTTTGCCCCACCGAAAACGGTCCGGTTTGCCCCACAGGCCCATTTTGAGAATAAATGTTTGTCAAAAAGAAACGCTTTGCAAATTCATCAAAGTTTTGGTGGTAAATATTCCTGAGGTGTGTACCTTCAAAACCTAAGACCTGATATTTGGAAATATTACACGATTTCCTCAGAATTTCCTTAGGAAAAAATTCGTAAAAGTGTAGAAAAAAACTAAAAAAAAACTTTTGCTCCCTGCGTCGCACAAACGCAAGCTAAAACTGTCAGATTGAAAAAATAAGGTATACTAAACATGGTTGTTTTAAATTTGTAGACAACACTTTTTTCAATTTCGCCATTTCGGAAATATTGAGAGGGGTCCGGTTTACCCACCGGTCCGGTTTGCCCCACTCTCCCCTATGGCAACAGTGTTTTTTAAATTTTAACGAAAAGTCATTTGTTCAGTTTTATAAAGTACGTGAAAGATTAGTTGACTGCGCTTGAAAATTCTGTAGAGCATGTGCAGTGTGCGTTGCGAGTTTCTACCCAAGGTAAATGCCAGCTGATCATCTGTTTCCATTTGTGTTAGTTTCAGATGAGAATATACTATTATTTAAAAACTGTGTGAACAAGTGGAAATTATTTTTTTCATTTTACAGAAATATACAATTTTTTTGAAAGTCAATGAAATTTTTAAGCGAAGTGCTTTTGAAACTCTCAGATCAAATATGGAAGACGATTTCTTCAAAAATCTTAAGTTACAGGAAGATAATAAATTACTTTTTCCAGTGTTCGAAACAAATTCTAATATCTACTACACGGAGAGAAATTCTGTTTTAATATTTCGTATTATTATATTAGTATTTAGTAAAACCGATTGCAATTTGGGGAAATCATGTACATTTATGAATTAATATTACCATTTTTAAGAAAGTTTATAATCAAATTATTACTTTGTATTATTCTGAAGTAATAGAAATTGAAATAGTCAATAAGAAGTTGTAATATTATAAGTAAGAAAGTATGCAATAGTAAAAAGTATTACCAGATGATTATACTAAATACTATCGAAGAATTACATAAGTTGTTAATTTAGTTATGAATAGTATTATCGACTATAATAAAAATGATGACCAGCCTAGTAGCAGGCCATAGCAGGCTATGGGCTGACGTCAGGCTGACGTAGAGCGGTTACGAAGCTGTCCGAGATTAGCCGAATATTTCAGTCGAGCAGTTCCGAAATTATCCGAGTCAAACCTCGTGGCAACATGTGCACGTTGTGTTTACCCCAAAATATTTTAATTTGATGTGTCAAAATGTGTCGGAATTTTAATCGACAATGAAGATTTCCTAATTGTAGTAAAAGGCATATAGTCCATTGTCTTTTAAATGAGCATTTGAGAGCATTCAAAATTTACACGGAAAAAAATTAATCTCTAAATTAGAGATTTAATATGAGATTTAGGCATAAACTATCACTGGAATCGGATGTGTGATTTGAACAGATCTCTAAAACTGAAATTTAGAGTTATATCTAATCCGCATATATTATCAGTGTGAAGAATCCGTATTTTTATGCCTGAAAATGATATTAGAAATCTCAAATTTTATGATTTATCACAATTTAGAGTGAGAATTATTCAAAGAATGTATATTTTTCTTTTAGTATGAACTTATAAACAAATCCATTGACAATCATAAAAAATTGGACATTTTTTGAAGATAATATGAATTTTTTATTATTTCATTTCTTTATTTGAATCAAATTATCTCAACATCACACAATATAAACATTCTTTTTCTATTTCTTAATAAAAAAACATGGTTTGGTACAACTTTCAATATAGGTTAGGTTTTCAAGTGTCAAATGAAAGTTTAACCTGAAAATACTAATAAATAAAAATATGTCCCACACGTGATAACGCGAAAAACATTCGTAAAATATGGAAAGTGAAAACGGTGAAAACTGGGAATGAAACTGCATTTAAAATATAAAATTAATACTTAAATAATTAAAATGGTTTAAATATTCTTTGACAATGATGAACTTAAAACGCAATGTAATTCACATCAGATAAGTTGTGAAATTAACAAATCTCTAAATCAGAGATGTGAATTTAATTGTGACTATAATGTCTATTTTAGACATACTTACATTCCATTGGATTTCAAATTAATATTATTTCAAGTTTAGATATTAATTTTTTTCCGTGTACGAAAATGAATTAGGACATTGGAAGGTATTTAAAAAAATGATTTAAGATATGCTGCATTTTCTTATGCCAATAAATTAAATGATGGGTTTTTTTATATAACGAAAAATTGGATATAATTTCAATAGAAATCATTTTCCAGAAACAAACAATTTTAAAAACAGTATTATGATAAACATTTCTGAATAAAATTTTGACCCAGCATACAAAAGTATGTATTTATAATGTAAAATAAATTAAGAACTTTTTTAAACAAAATATGGAGAAAATATCACTTTCTCACAAGTTCAGAAAATTTCTCGAGTTTAGTATATAAGGAAGTTGAGAACTGTATCTCCCAATGTACAGCGTGCGTGCGTGCGTTATTGCGTTTATTTGTATTTAAGTTAAGTTTATATGTATGCGTTTATAGGTTTTAACATAGATCTCCGAAATTGTATATAGTTTGTGTTTGTATAGTATGATGTATAGTATGATGCTTGCGTTAGCTCATTGGTGTGTGTGCGAAATACTTTCGAAACGATAATTCTATCCTCCTCCTTCCTACGTCTTTTTATTTCCTGTCCTTTTCGACTCACTCATAATTTTTAGTATTGACTATATTAAAGATTGAAATATGTATTTTATTCTAAAATTTAAAAGAACTATTTCAATTTCTCTTATTCTTTCGATACTTTCACGGACTGCGATTTTAATATAGTCATTTTTAAAAATTATAATTCTTTTATTAAATTGTATTACAATTTTATTAATTTTTGTAAAATATATCAAGGGCTGCCTACTAATATGCACAATATTAATTTTTAATATAAAACACGATTTCCCTAAATTGAAAAAGAATATATTAAATTCTATTGCCAATTTTAACAAATATTAATACAAAATCTCTCTCCGTGTAATAATTACGAAATAAGAGTAGATTCCGAAAGGGTGTTTACTTTTATTCACCTGCATTCGTGCAGCTTAGAAATAATTTTTTATTCTTTTGAAGCTTTTAGAATTCAAAAATATATTTTTAGTTTTTCAAAAGAATTTTTTATCTTTCAGGAGTAGTTAATTGACTTTGGAGTTGTTTTCAAAAGGTTGATTATTATATTCATCAATGCTTGTTACACTAAAAATATTTTTATATAATTTGGAAACCTATACTGCCGTACTGACGAAGAAAGTCACTATCTACATCTTAAGTCGAACGGAGATATTTAATGAAACGCATTTGCATTAGTACCTTTTATTGTATTCCTTTTTTTGGAAAAAACTCATCGTTCTTGGGTGAAACGGACTCGCTCTATCAATTGGTACAATAAAAAATTATAAATTTTAATTGTTTATATGAAAAATTGTAGATAGTACCATTTTGCATGTGCGAAATCGTCGGAAAAACTGGCCTATGTACATAGGCCCAAATTTCAATAAACGTGTATATCAATTAAGGAAGATTTCGACTATATCAGCAATTAGTGACATCTATTAGAAGTCAATTGAACTCTTTGGTTTAGAGTCAGGTGTTATTCTTAAGATAATTATTCTGATATGGTTGTCGGTAAATAATTATATTTTTTGAATTTAATTTTTGATCTGAAAAAATAAGCTGCGTGAACGACTGCACTGTGCATCTGTGAGGACTCGAACCCCAGTTAATAGCTGCCTTTCGCGGGACTAACGCCTACCAATGCACCATGCCAACACAGCCTGGACGGAAGAGTTCAATTGACTTCTAATAGATGTCACTAATTGCTGATATAGTCGAAATCTTCCTTAATTAAAATTCTTCATCAGCAAATAATTTCCTACATTAACTATACAGCTCTTCGACTAGTGTATGGGCTTGATCTGAGATTATAAGAAACGTGAACGTCCAGGCTGTGTTGGCATGGTGCATTGGTAGGCGTTAGTCCCGCGAAAGGCAGCTATTAACTGGGGTTCGAGTCCTCACAGATGCACAGTGCAGTCGTTCACGCAGCTTATTTTTTCAGATCAAAAATTAAATTCAAAAATATAATTATTTACCGACAACCATATCGGAATAATTATCTTAAGAATAACACCTGACTCTAAACCAAAGAGTTCAATTGACTTCTAATAGATGTCACTAATTGCTGATATAGTCGAAATCTTCCTTAATTAAAATTCTTCATCAGCAAATAATTTCCTACATTAAACGTGTATATCTATATATTTCAGTACAGACCGTTCTTCTCAAGTCTCTTTACTGACGTACTATGTACATAGTGCCTTTTTAATCAGTTTTTCTCGGCCGCTGAGGCTCGAAATACTGAAATTTCTGTAGATAGAACTGCTGTTTTGTAGATAGTGACTTTCTTCGTCAGTACGGCAGTATAGAAGTAGTAAAAATTTTTTTTAATTATTTACAAGAAATGCACGTATTTGCAAATAGTTATAGGATAAGGGTGGATTGCAACTTGCAAGAGGGTGAGTATCATCATTATCCGTATTTGTGTAAGATTACTTTTTTATAATTTTTGAATAACTTTATATTTTTATTAATTTAGAAAAAATGTGACATTAAAGCATGATTATTTGACAATAAGGATAGTATTCTAGGGATTGTTGATCATCGTTTTTCATTCTCAAACCATCAGCTAATATTAAAAAATACTTACAAAACATGCAGAATCTGTAAAATATTTACTAATTCATTTACATTAAGTATTACCCCCTTAAGATTCTTTAAACCGATTTAAAAAACACAAGGTGAAGAAATACTAAAAAAATCGAAAGTTCGAAACACCAATGTTATTTACATAAGAATAATCTAGGCGTTTACGAAAGAGAGGAAATAAAAAATAAATAAATTTCCTTAGCGAAATTTTGCAAACTTTGGTCATAGATTTGAAACAAAGGGGGCTCAAAACTTTCTTCAACGTGGTAAATAAGAGCCACCTTATAGTATTGATAATCGACTGATTTTTTAATTTTTGTATGCAAAAAGTATTATTTATACAATTTTCAAAAATATTATTTATTGGCAGTGAAACTTGCTATTATTGCTACAATATATATAGACCTTTTCAATTCTATTCATTCCTATTGCGCATGCGTTACATGAAATTGAACTTCCGTTTAAAGTATCGGCCCTGTTTACAGCTGTTGCATTATTCAGATATGGAAAAAATTACAAAAAGTGTTTTAAATTATTATATAATGCATAAAAATTGAATACAATGATTTAACCCATTAACGCCCAACTCGTGAAAATTCTTTGGTCATTTTCAAGCTACGTAATTATAAATAAAACGGTTGACAATTTATACCAGAGGTACATTTTCTAAAGGTTTTGGATGTGCTCTTTCCTATTCCGGTGTCAAAAATGAATTTCGTTCAAACCAAAATTAAATATGACGGTTATAATGTCAAAAAACACCAAAAAAAAATTCATTTTTTCAAGTTTGACATTTTTTTTCACCTCGAAAAAATGTAAGAATAAAATTCTATTTTCAACCATCCGTGCATAAAAATTATACACTTTCGAGAAAAGTAAAGTAGAATTTAAAATTTCAAGATGGCAGGCCAATATGGCGTCAAATCTAAAGTAAAATTTAAAAATTTTGGGTGATATTCTTTATATTGCCGAAAAGTCAATGAATTCGCCTGAATTTTATTACTCGGGCTGATTACGAATATGAACTTTATTTTCAAAAATTCAAAATGGTGGATCCAATATGGCAGACGAGTTTTACAAAAATTCATCGAATTCACTTGAAACTTGTTACTCGCGAGGTTTTTGGGGTTGCTGATTACGAATATGATGATAGTTAAAAAAAATTTAATTTCGAATCTCTTGGCGGACAGCAAAATTGAAAAACTTTTCTAATTGGTGCCCATAGTTCAATATTGAAGTGCATGTGTAAGATCCCGTTGCTTATACTTTGAATACAATATTATACTTAGTAGACCGTTAACTTTGTTAAACAACACCGGACACCAATTAGAAAAGTTTTTCAATTTTGATGTCCGCCAAGAGATTCGAAATTAAATTTTTTTTAAACTATCATCATATTCGTAATCAGCGACCCCAAAAACCCCCGAGTGACAAGTTTCAAGTGAATTCGATGAATTTTTGTAAAACTCTACCGCCATATTGAATCCGCCATTTTGCGTTTTTGAAAATGAAGTTGATATTCGTAATCATCGACCCTAAAAACCCCTGAGTAACAAGTTTCAAGTGAATTTGATTAGTTTAAAAAATAAGTCCGCCATATTGAATCCGCCATTTTGAATTGTTAAAAATGAATATCATTTTTGTAATCAGCAACTCCAAAAACCTCCCGAGTTACAAGTTTCAAGTGAATTCGATGAATTTTTGTAAAACTCGTCCGTCATATTTAATTTTGGTTTGGACGAAATTTATTTTTCACACCGGAATCAAAAACAGCACATCCAAAACCTTTAGAAAATGTACCTCTGGTATAAATTGTCAACCGTTTTATTTATAATTACGTAGCTTGAAAATGACTAAAGAATTTTCACGAGTTGGGCGTTAATGGGTTAAAAAGATTTTTTGTCATGGCTGCGACTTTCGAATTAAAATGAAAAGGTCTATAAAGATGCTACGTTTTATGGTAAATAAAAGTTAATTTTTATATTTGATAGACACTTACATTTTTTTTTGTGAAAGGCCACAAGCCGTTTACTATGCTGATCGTAAATATTGATAAAAGCAAAAAGTGTTTGAAAGAAACCATTTTGGAAACAATTGAAGAGCTGAAAATGATAAAATATTTTCAGTTTGATGATTAATTTATTCTAATATGAATACTATACAGTTTATTTGTCCCTTAATTTTAAAACTATTTCTTTAAAAAAATTTGAAAATTTAAGAAATAAATACAGATAATGTACCTGTTATGACTTCAACTCTCGAGCAAAACTCGAAGATAACTGTTTGCAATCGTCTTCAATAGAGATATTAAATAAATAAAATTTTTCTAATAAAAAAAACAATAAACTTTGGACGACAATAACTATAAAATATTCAGATAGGAATTGTAAATGTTTTCTGTAAAAAGTTCAAATGTTTTGCTGCTTTAAAATTTTGTTAAGAAAATATATTTTAAAATATTTTTATAATTTTTATAAATAAGTTTGAACCAACGAGCATTTATTTTATACTTATAGATTTTTTATAACTTTCACATAATAAAAAAAAATTTCAATCCATTATTTGAGATATTTTTTTTAAATTTTCTGTGGGAAAAAATATAATTTTTTAATTCAATTATCTACCTTAATTTATCAATAAGATATCGTGTATAAGAATATTCTATTCTTAGATAAGAAAATCTATAACATTGAGGCTAGTCATTTTTAATTGGTAACATTTTAATCAATCTCTTAAGTTTAATGACACATATAAATCTTGATTTTTATGCTCGTTAAATGATTTCAAAGAAAGACACCGCGCATGTTGAATATATTTAAAACCATCAAGCTCCTAATTATAAATGACGGCTTAATCGCTATCGTTGTTGATTATTAAACAGTTTATTAAATCAAGTAGTAGAATAACGGAAGTGGGAGGATAAAAACATAGTTTTCTAAGGATATCAAATTGAGACAAAAACGTATCAAAATTGTAGTGATTCAACATTTTGATGCTTTAATGGTCTTAATTTTAAAATATTAGAAAAACTGTGCGTTTTAAGATATAAAAAAGTAATATTTATCTAACTTACTTAACCCATCAAAAGGGCCTAATTGCGCTGTACAACTATCTACCTGAATTACTTAACCCTTCAACGCCCAAATGTACTAGATTTTGGCATGAAGTTCAAAGACTTATTATTTCGATACTTAAAAATCAATAGAAAAATTCATCAATCATAATTTCTTAGGTTTTTATATGCGTTTTATCGAATAGCGTTATTAAACAAATCAAGAATTTATAAACAAAAAAGTTATTAATGTTTTTTATAAAAAAAAGTCCGATTTTTTCAAATTTTTGTTTAATTTTCAACTTTTTCTACTACGAAATGGCAGAAAAGTAATTCCAAATGTTCCCAATAACGTGACAAAAATATATAAGCTACAAGATAGGACTATAGAGAAAATTAAAAATGCAATTTTCATAATTCAAGATGGCGGATTTAATATGGACGGCAAACTTTCAAAAACTCATTGGATTCGTTTGAAACTTGTTACTCGGAGGTTTTTGGGGTTGCTGATTATGAATCTGAAATCCAATTTTCAAAATTCAAAATTTCGGGTCCAATATGGTGGACAATTTTTCTAAAAGCTCATTAAATTTGTTTAAATCTTGTTACTTGGGGTTTTTTGAGATCGCTGATTACAAATCTAATGTCCAATTTTCACAATTCAAAATGGCGGATCCAATATGGCCGACGAATTTTCAAATAAAAATCATAAAAACTCATCGGTCCGTTGAAATTCGTTAATCACGTTCTTTAGCCATTAAAATGTTTAAAATATTTTTAATGTCGTCCAACTTTCACCACGTGGAGGTAAACTTTTTTTTAATTTTTCTGTATTTTTAAAATTTTTAATATTAAAATATAAAACATTGAAAATTTAACTAATTTTATTATATATCTAACATAATAATTGAGCTAAATTATTGCTTCAGGGCTCATTTAATTTTAATAGGTTTGAATAGAGAATAGAATTTAAGTTAATATATTTTAGAGAATAAATTTAATGATAAATAAGGGGTACATGGACAATCTTGACCCCTGTACTGTAAATAAAATTATATAAGAAAGAGGAAACTTCCTCTTAAACGAAAAGAGCCTTCTCGAAATAAATCCTGTGAATTATTTCGTTCACACGTGAGAATAATTCTCTTTCGTTGTAAATTGTCTCTATGAAGTTAACTTGAGATGTTAGAAGGCGAAGAGGGAAAATTTAGTCACATGTACAGAGACAGATTGTTGGAGAAATAAGGAATTCATTGCACCTATACATGTACATTCGTGAACAATTAACCGATGCAATTAAGACATCTAAATTAATTCGTTATGAATGAGCCGTGGATTGCGATCTGAATAGTATGGCGGATAATTGCTCGAGTTCTCACAAGTCGAGCATCAGACCTCACACTTACGCTGTTTTAATAAGAGGCCGTGTTATACACCTGCACACGCTTCTTTAACACATACGGATATACGCGAATATATAATGCCTTCGAGGTAATGGCAACAATTACTTTATTTAACCATCTCGGTTCTCAACTCGCTAGCGTCCGTCCCCCCCTCTCTCTCTCTCTCTCAACAAATTTCATTTCCTAGCGTGTGTGTCATAATCTCTCGATCTTGCACCGCTTTTAAGAAATCTTCACTTTCTTTTTCTTCGTAAGACTCTAGGCGCAACAGTTTTACAATCTCCGATTGACGCTTTCCGCGTTCTATATAAATTGCACACTTCAGTTCTAATTACTCTGTTATGAAAAAAATTTTTTGATTAGTACTAAACATTCAATTTGATCATTCTTTTCTATTCCACTGGGGAAAAATTTAATTTAAATTTAATTTAAAAGATTTTATTTAAATTACATAAAGCGCGAGAAATTAATGACTAAAATTTTAATGGACAAAGTTATCTAGAATTCTTAATTAACATATGCGTAAAAAGGAAAAGTAGATACGCGGTGTTAGAGTTTTTGATTAATAACGTCAGCGAACATTGGTCACGCTACTAATAAAGAAGCGTTCACACATATTAAAGTTCCTGCCTCTGCACGTTTGCGATCACAAATTTTAAGTTCTTCCTCTCTCTCTCTTTATTTCTCTCATCAATATAACGAGGGAATGGCGTGTCTCGGCTCTTGATTGAACTGAACAGCAACAATCCAATCGCTCTCAATCATTTGAATTTCATCTTCAGTACCAGACAAGCCATTAACAACCGTTTCACATACCTGCGAAAACTTTGTTTTGTATCTTCTTTAATATTTTTAAATTATTTCAATTAGACAAATGCATCTTTTCCATACGCACCAATCCCTACAGTTCAAATTCTCAAACGATTTAGGATTCATTATATTATATGTATAATTATTTTTTAAAATTTATACTTATTGTATAATTTATTTGTTACAGATATTGATAAACACCGACGAGTCGATCTAATAAATTCGGCGTTTCGAAATTCGAACAGCTTTGTTCATATTCGTAATTATAAACCCAAAAAAAACTCCGAGTAACATATTTCAGGCCAATTTGATCAATTTTTCATAAATTCGTCCGTCATATTGGGTCCACAATATTGAATTTTAAAAAACTGATTTCAGATTCGTAATCAGCGACTCAAAACATCCCTTGATACCAAGTTTTATAAAAATCCATTAAATTAAAAAATTTCAGTCCGTCATATTGGATCTGCCATTTTGAATTTTGAAAAACTACCCACACAGAACATGATATTTCCTAAATATTTCCTGAATATTTCACTGAAAGATTGAAATATTTCAGTGCAAGGTTCTTGAAATATTGCTGCAAATTGAAAATGTCCGTCTATGTGAAATATTGACGCGAAAGTTTAGAAAATATTTCATTGAAATATTTTGGAAATTTTCATCTTAAATTATGCGCACTGGTCGAACTCAGTTTCTATGGCATGTAGAGCTGCGCAGTAGTTTTTAGCTTTCTAGAATCCTATGGGTTTTAAAATATTTCACAAAATTCCTATTGGTTTCAGGTGTTTAACAAATTTTTTAATTTTGTGAAATATTTTCAGAATATTGCAGAATCGTCATGTGTAATATTGCAGGAATATTTCAATGAAATATTTTCTAAACTTTCGCGTCAATATTTCACAAAGGCGGACATTTTCAATTTGCAGCAATATTTCAAGAACCTTGCACTGAAATATTCAGGAAATATTTAGGAAATATCATGTGCTGTGTGGGTAAGTTCAGATTCGTAATCAGCGAATCATCTATCATAGTGTTATGAAAAACATTTATAATCCTATGGGAATTCAGTTTATAAAAATTGAAATTGGTATAGGACTAATATGACGGAAATCGGAATTAAAAATTTAATTTCTTTTAATAAAATATTGTATCTAGAGGTTTCTTGGGGTCGCTAATTACAAATCTGAAGTCAGTTTTAGAAACTCAAAATGTCGAATCCACTCAGATAGCACGTAATCTTGCAGCAATATTGCCGTGAAAGATTTGTAATATAAATTATTTAATGATCAATTTTTATTTAATATAACGTAATTATAACAACAATATTATCATAACTGATAATGTTAATAGTTAACGTCTGCAACGATGTTAACAATTTTTTATTATTGTACAAAGTTCATGTCAGAATATCGAATTTGAAAATGGCGGTTCCAATATAATCAAAGAATTTTTTTTAAATTAAGCGGATTTACTCAAAATAATTTTTATCTAATTGAATGTTTATAATGTCGAAGTAGTTTTGGGAAAATTGCTTTATCCATTTATAGAATCGGGTTTCATAATCCCAGGTAGAAATTGACGACCGGGATGGTACCGGCCCGGTACAAACGGCGGATTATAAGTGCCGGGGCGGTACCGTCATAAGACCGTAATTTTTACCGTCTCGGTACCGGCAAATTGCCGGATGATAACTGCGGCAGGTATCCGGCATACGTACCCGGTTATTGTTGGAAGGCATTTAGTGCCGGTTTATTACCGGCTGCACAACCGGCTAGGTACTGGTCCAGTACCGGCATAAATCTGTTCATTCCACCGGCGCAGTACCGGTAAATTGCCGGATGATAACTTCGGTAGGTATCCGGCAACCGTACCGGGCCGGCACTAAAAAACAACCGGTGTGGTACCGGGCCGGTTAAAAAAATTACATGTCAGTCTGATTAATTGTTTAATTATTATCAATGTTATTATTAATTTTAAATTGGAAACAGTAAATATATTAAATGCTGAAACAGAGAAACATAAACAATTATAGAAAAATCTGAAGACTCGAGGAATTGAACTCAGGAACCTGAGGCTGCAAATTCGACACCACATCCGCTAACCTAAACCTGCAT